GTAACAAGAATACACACACACACACACACACACACACAGCGAAAATATCGAAAATATAATCCGATCGGCAAATATAAACTTGTATTACTAAAATAATTATAAAAAATTTTTTAACTTTTAAGTGAAATTAATCGGGATAAGAAATGATAGGATAAATAAATTGTTGCAATTGAAAATTATGCATATATATTGAAAAATATTTTATTTATGGTCATTACTATCTAATCATCATCATCATCCTTCTTCTTCTTCTTCTTCTCTATTGCTTATTTCTTCTTCCTCTTCTCTGTTTCTTGTGCCAAATATGGCATCTGCTTCCTCGCGCCGCCTTGTTCGGCGACCTTTCTCTCCTGGTTGTCTACGAACAGAATTTCGCAGTCGTTGTTTAGCGAATCTTATGGATTCTTTCACAGCATCATAAAATTTTTGTTGGTCAGGTACCGCAAAATAAGGGCTGTTTGCTACCGCTTCTAAATTTATGAACAGAATAATAACAAAAAAACGTTAAGAAGGAATATATTCCAGTGATTATAAATATTTCATAAATTGAAAACAAGTTGAATATTGTAATAAGTGATACAAGATTTGTTTTTCAATTTTTATTCTTTCAATGCCATTTTAATAATATTATAAATAAAAATATATTACCATATACTGCATATAATAACTGAGTATTATAAAGTTCGAGATTCCGGTCCTTTTCGCCCCATAAGGAATATTTATTTAATGCTTCGTCCGTTATTATTTGTTTCATGCAAAATTTTACACTTTCGTCCAAAGTTTGTCCTCCCAAGTATTTGAGATATGTCACCTAAAATACATTGTATAGGATAATGTAAATATGATAATGTATTTAATTTCTACACAATGACAAGGAAAAAAATTCTATATGAAACAAAATAGAATTCTGTGTTCTGGGAAACACTAGAATATCTATAAAGATTCTTTATATATTCATGTCATTACTATAATATGATTACTGTAATATATTATGCTTTAAGACCTACCACTTCGTTGTACTGTTCTTCGTCAATATTGTCGAAGTTCTGCACTTCTTTGACGGATTTTAATGGAATACAGTGTGGTTTCATTGGCATTTTATTGCTTTGCTTTTTTAACAGTTTATCAAGTTTTTGGGTGATGGTTCTGAAACAGAGTATAATAGCCTAGAGAGTATTAATAATAGTAACATCCTCATCTTAAAAATTAAAACGGTTAACATTTTTTCTAGCCATTTATAGTATTTTTATAACATTAATATATATGTATTCGATCACAAATGCATAAATAAAAAGAAAAAGGGCATTTTTATACATAATTTAAATAAAGTTTGATCTATGAAGGCTTCCTAGTTTCATTTTTTAGTCATTATCGTGCAATAATGTTACGTTGCAAAATACTGTTTAATCGGCAAGTTTAGGACACAATAGTGTCGAAAAGAATACTCTGATTACAGTAACAATAAAAGTTTATATTATATTATACAGGATGTATAAAAAGTATCGGATTAATTTTGACTATGATCGCATGTACCGTATATAAGACATTTTTATTATTCATACACATATACATATATACTTTAATATTATTATCAAAATACATATGCAGAAAGCTTACATGAAATCTTCTTTCATCGGCATATTTTCTAGCTGCTTTCTCATGTTATTGAATTCCCTAAAACGTATAACATATTTATTTTTATTTCTTAGAAATAATATTATTTCTAAGAATTTATTTTATCTACTATTTATCCAAAAATATCTATACATTCGCTGCATGTACATATATACAAAATGTGTAGTATTTATTAGGGATGTGCCGGATATCCGGCAACTATCCGGTATCCGGCCTATCCGGCCCTTTTGTACTATCCGGCCGGATAGCCGGATATCATTAGTATCCGGCCGGATACCGAATCAAAATTTGATATTTAAAATTGGCACCATTAGTTCAGGATTCAAGGCACAGAGTCCTCTAGAAATAAAGCTAATCATTTTTTTTGGCTAATCATCATTTCAGGTTGGCTCTTTTGTACGATTTTTTTAAACGTTTATTTTCAATAACGGCGAAGGGCATTAAGACCCTTACACAATGCCAGGCAACAGGCAATAGAAATAGGGAATAATGTAGGAAAGAAAGAGAGAGAAATAGCTTTTCTCTCTTTCTCTTCTACGTTATTTCCTGTTCCTATTGCCTGTTGCCTGGCATTGTGTAAGGGCCTTTAGTGTTTTTCTAACCTAATCTACGAGAAGATATTAATAGCAAAGTGATTAGAGAAAATTATCAATAAATTTATCTTCCACATGGTGTAGATGATCTGAAGAATATATCGTTTATTTTATTGTTGCATTCAATTATAAAATATAATGGCATAAGG